GTTTTTGTATTGTAGTTTTCGTGACGACTATGGGATTGTCAATGTGGCTAACCTTCGCAATAGAAGTCCTCGCAATGTGTCTCCATAAAAATAATATAGATTTTTTTAAATTTCAGAAATGTATAAGGCATAAGCTATGTGTGAGAAAATAATGTGATTACGTGTTAGATACCAATATTATTATAAAAATATCTAGGATATTATTCTGAAATAGATATTCATATTCAATTAGTTTTTGCATATGACACGCTTTACCAGTATAATCGATTCAAATCTGATGCATAGCGAAATTTTTTGTAGTACCTACATTTGGCAGTATGGTCGCGACACGGTTTTCTACTTAGTCTATTTAAATTATTTGAAGTTATAAAATATACGTAATTCTATATTATACTGCCGATCTAGCCCGGCTTTGCACGAGTATATCGAATTTAAATAATATAAAGCCTATAATATTTGCTGATAATGTGGTTTTTTATAAGTGAAAACAATTTTAAGACCAGTTAAGTAGTTTTTGGGTTTATTCATTACAAATAAATAACAATCAAATCTTTCCTGTTTGTAATATTAGTATAGATGTATGTTTCGTATATGCATTTATAGATCTCGGTTGGTGTTAAATTGTCGTTTGAAATATGAATATTAAGTTGCACCTTGTATAAATAGATATTTGGGGCGTAGATTATGCACACATTTTTTTTTATAACGAATATCTTCCTTTACGAGTACTAGCTTTATCATGCGGCTTCGTCTACGAGAATCATTATATATAATATACGTTTTAAGTTAAGATATAGATAATATAATAAGTTAGGATAGAGAGATATATGTAACTTACATGTGAACCAAATTACATTCAAATCCATTCAGTAGTTTTTGTGTGTAAGAGTAACAAACATCCATCTATGCAAACATCCTGAAAAGCTTTCGTATTTATAATAATAGTAGACATATAGACTACTTTTTAATTCAGTTACTGAAAATAACCGGGTCACTTGAATGAAGTCACGAGTATAAACTGGTAAATGATATTCATAGTATAACAATTCTGGATTTATACCTCGTTCTTACTATAATCCAATTAATCAAATAATATTACCAAATCAAATTTTGTTTTGTAATTAGCTGTTATTTGATTAATGTCGCAAAATTTTGCATTCATGATTATCTTATTATTCAATACTGAAACAAAATTGAAGTTAAATGTAGAAAGAATATATAATTTAAAATATAAAGCTGTTTATATATATATATATAATAAAGAACTTTTAAATACGCCAAGTTTGTGTGATATGTTTTGCAGTTAGCATCACTAATTTTTAGTGGCTAAATAGCTGACGTAGTGTTATTTTTTTAAGGTAACTAAATAAACAGGCGCGTAAAGATGTTACAACAATTTGACAGTCTAAAGCCTGATTGAAATGTAATGGGAAGTTCATTACTTTTATAAGTAAGTAAGTAAATTACGATTTTTAATATAAATATATTAGTGGTTAGTAAAAAGCTGATGTTTGCTTTGTGTCACAAAGTTGTTTCACTGTTGCAATATTACGCTAAAACTGACAGAGTGTGCGCGATCAACGATGTGATAGAGAAAAGTATAGTTATGAGGATATATATATATACATACATATATATATATATATATATATATATATATATATATATATATATATATATATATATATATATATATATATATATATATATATATATATATATATATGAATTTGTATTATATAAAATAATTGTGAAAATTATAATATATTTTATATGTTTATAATAATATATTATGCGTTTATAAACTTATTTTATCTTATGCGTATGGTCATTGAATCATGATTGATTAAAAAACATTTCAACTTATTTTAACTAATTTCTACATTTATAATATTAGTTAAAAAGTAGTCAACAGCAAAGTACAAGAGAACGAAGTGTCATTTTTCAATTTAATATTTAGTATTGTAGTCAGCAAACCAAATAGAGCTGATTGGTTAGTAACTGTTACTATAGAGGGTGTTTATTTCCTAAATCCGCAGTGGCGCAATAAAGTGGTTGGCAATAAATAACTGATACAGCGCCAGGCCTCGAAGTGGTGTATGTGCAGTTGCCTACGGTCATATATTTTCTGGATGTGCGATTTAATGTACTGATTCACTTATCAATCTAATAAAATACCTGTACCTTCCTTCAATTTATATTCCGACACGTCAGTTACCTTTACAAAAGGTCGACGGAAGAAATGAAATTTACAGTGGAACTGTATATTTCAACGTTTTTAAGGAAAGATCAGATCAATCTTTAGAAAAAAAATCAAGTAAGCATCTAAGCATGTCTTAAATATATATAATGGTTTTATTTATTTCATAGGTGATTATTTTTATTCATAATTTTCAATTTTCTAAATTTATAACCACGTCGTCAGTGATAGCGGAATAGTTTTGTGAATTTATCAAACAAACTTGGAAATGTGACACTTTCGTATATTAATGTCTCAGGGGGCTGGCCAGAAGCCAGCGAGCCGGCGACCGAAATAAGACAAATTGGTCACAGTTAACAGTTTTACATTGTAAGAGCTTCATTTCTGCAATAAGCACTTCTGTATATGTTATCAAGATTTGGAGCAAGTATTTTTTTAATTTAATATAATTTGTTTTATTTCATCACCTTTTATTTATTTTACAATTAAATATGAGATGCCAGTTAAATCAATATTCTGAACTCAGTGATAATAGGAATAGGAAGGATACCGAACGAATGAAATATATATTTTACTATATATAGGCTAAATTGATCATCATTGGCATATTTAAAATAATTATTATTCCAGGGGGTCTGCCTGGCCTCTTATAATAGGCGCATATGTACTCTCTTATATGTCTTTGCGTAGCTTCGTTCGTATACTGAGGTAGGAACTAGACAATTTTGGGGTGACCAAACATCATTTAAGTCACCTATATGTCAATCATATTACCGCGCAGTTTGTATGAAATGTTAGTGAAAGATAAAACTTTATTTCAGATATTAGTTTTTAAGTTCGAAATACCATTCATGAGTAAAGTTAAAGTTGTTAGGTTTAAAAATAGGGCATTGCATTATCAATAGTGCTTCAGATAATTATAACAAAATTCATTATTACATATATTGTACTGTGTGATTGTTATACTGTAATATAAATATGTTACAGTATAATAGAATAAGCATTTACAAATGTAATGTAAATGTAAAAAAAAATAGGTGTATAGTGAAAAGTTAAATCCATTGACACTAATGATTGAAAAACGCTGACAGATTGAGCTGACTACCACCACAAACATCATACCCACAGTCTAATATTACAGCAGCGGAGTCACGGTATAATTTGTAAGATATAACAGAAAAGATGTTACTTTTACGTATTGAAATTTACATAGTGTCTGTGTAGACAGTCTAGGTCAATTTATAAGTGTGTTTGCTGAGCGTGACATGTATCTAGACGTCACGAGCGTCTTACAAAGACGATCTCGTCTAGAAATTTAACACAATAAAATAAATTTCTGATGAAATAATTTTAATAGTTTAACATTTTTTTTAAGTAAATTTAATTTTCTTTGAATTATGCTAATTCTTTTTTTATTTAACTTAAAATGCAAACAAGCTGAAGTTTCATGTGATAGAAAGTGGTAATGGTTACTTATAGATTTAAACTATGGATATTCTAGAATATACCGTGATGTTCAACAAACCCTTCTGTTGTGTTAACATTCTAGACGACTATGGTGTTACGTCTCTGTTTACTATTATTTAACTATAGTACTGGTATCCCACTTATCAAACTAAAATAGACATTTCAACACAGTTCGTCGTCTATTACTGACGACTTTGATTAGATCTTATACGATTTTGTGTGTGTGGGTTTAAGGGTCTGTACGTGAGTGGCTATTAAAGCATGTGGGTGTAAAGTAGGTGGAGTAGTTTTTGCCTATCATCATTTATGACTATTACATGAAATTATGTTAATGGAATTTTATCGTTTCAGACTTTTAGGGATAATGTAATTTGATATTTAAACGTTTACAATATTATTAGTTTTTACCAGGGACTTCGTGCGCGTGTTCGGGGTTATATTCTTGTAATATTAATTACCTAGGATAAAAAGTAGTTTATGCCCTTCTTCGCAATAAATACTATTCGTATGTCAAATTTCAAGGCGATCAGTTGAGCCGTTAAAATATGTTTAGTTTATTTTATAACCTTTTGAAGGTAACTAAAAAAACGAAACATTTATAGTATTAGCAAGCATTTGAATGATAAATACTCATCTAAGTGACGTAGTTATATTGTTATTTGGAAGTAAATTATTGAGATATAGTAGGATATAGTTAATTATAGAAATACTATATAAATTAATGAAGTTTGATGCACAAGTTAGGTCATCAGATTCGGTGCTTTCTGGTGAATTTGCTTAGTTTATATATAGAACCGAAATATTTGATTTGATTTTTTTTTATTTGGATTCGTTGTTTGTTAGGTATATATTGTATTTTTGTATTATGGTATTCAAATTTTATTAAAAGGTAAATCTAAAATAGTATGTAATATTAACACAGACGGAACGCAAAAAAATTTCAAGTAAATAAAATATTTATGACAAATTAAACAAACGAGCTTATTATATACTTGTTACAATCGAATACTTTGTAAGAAGTACTATAATGAGAAAATTACATGATTAGTTTATTTCTAATTCCAAAAGTTGGCAATCACTTATTTTGTAGCGCGTCTTCAGTTTAACTAGGTCTGTTTTCTGGAGCATTACAGGTAAACTTTAATTTTGTTTAAATATATATCAATAATAAAGTAAATAAATATACATGAAAGCAGGTATATTTATTAACTCACATAATATATGTTTACGTAGAAAATTATAATGAGCTATACCTACACAAAAAATTATATTATTTAAAATTATTTGCACACGATAATTAAATTAGGTGCTTATATTCTCTTTTCAGATAAAGTTATTAATTTGAAACTTCGTAACAGGGAACGATTATGGGTAAAAATAACGATATTATACAAAGTTATTGCAAAAAAATATATTTAATCGGTTCTGGAAATTTTTGGTTCGTAGAAGGTGAAGTAGTAGGGGATGACAGAAGATGGTTCTATAGGCTGTATACCTTCATATTAATATCAATTTATGTTATTACAACTTTATTAGAGATTCTTGCTGTACTGTTTGGTGAGTATCCAGAAGACGAGATGGGCGATGCTGTAACGTTTGCAGTTAGTCACTCTATTGTGGTAACAAAAATAATATCGGTAATCATGAACAAAAATTTAATTAGAAATATAAACAAGAATATGATTGAAAGTTGTGAGAAATATGAGGAATCGAATTTAATGGAGCGTATGTATAAGATTCTGAAGATAAATATATTGGCGTACTTCATTGTTGTTTACGGGGCGTGTGTTTGTTATGTTTTCGAAGGTTTCAGAAGATTGTCTGAAGGTTTGTGAATTTAGTTAATGTTTTAAGTTTATAAATAGATAAAATGTATCTATTAAGCAATGTCAAGCGTTTAATTGACTGTGACGTTACCCAGTATATTTATTAAATTCTAATGTTTACTCGCCACTTCTTCTGTGTTAACAAAATATTGATTGACTATTATGGAAGCAAAACCCAAACAATACATGTAAACCAAAACTGATAACCGACCAACAAATTTACTTTTATTTTTAAAATATATGAATAATTTGGAATTGCAACTTGACTACTGATTGAACTAGAATTAAATGATACAGAGATCAACAAAGACTATTTGAGATCTCTAGGTTTCAAATATTTGTTTAACAATATATCTACGTTGTAACAGGATAGTCGATGAAACGCTTGACAATGCAAGCAATAGAGATTTCGAGATCAAATCCCAGCCGCTAAATTGTATAAATTCTGATTCGGATTACAAAAAAATGTCGTCACTTGTTTCATGCATTAGAGACCACGTAAATGTTGATAGTAGACAGTTAATTTAATACCCGCTTTTTTATTCATAATTATTATTATTAATCTATTTATAATAATCTTTACATAAACATTTATTTTATGTGGCAGGTTCACATTTTGTTACAGTTGTTACCTACTACCCGACGCATGAAGATAATTCATTAATGGCAACTGTGTTTAGAATATTTGCTACATTAGTACTGTATGTGATGATGATGTCGATGATAGTATCTGTGGATTCTTACACTATGACTAATTTGATTATGTTGAAATATAAATTCATTACATTGAGACACTATTTCGAGAAATTGCGAGAAGAATTTGATAAAACTAGTATTACTGGAAATTTGCAGCAAGCAACGGAGAAGTTAACTAATGGATTAGTAGAAGGGATTGTAATGCATAATCAGCTTTTAATGTAAGTGTAACTATTATATTAGAATCAAAGGTATTTTATTTTATTATTATTATTTCAGCCGTTAACTGTCCACTGTTGGACATAAGTCTTCCCTATAAGAGGAGTTTTGCCAGTAGCTGCCATGGTTTTCAGGCGGGTTGACAACAGCAGTTAGGCTTTTAAAGATGTTTTAAGAAGGACGCTGCTGTCCATCCATCGCCCTCCTTTAGTCACCTCTTACGGCACCCACGGGAAAGGAAGGAGTTGCCCATTCTATGCTGGGGCACATACGGTGATCAATGAAAAGAATAAAAGTTAAAATTTAATTTCTTTTTAGTTATAAATTAGATATCAAAAATATTTTAAAAAATGAGGTTTGTGACGTGGAATATTAAAATTATAATGACATGCGTATTTCGATTGATATTATAAATTCAGATATGTGTATATTTAAAAGCTATGGTTTTTATAATCACAGAAAAAGTAATACTATCTTTATTTCTGTATCCTGATGAGCGACCCGTCTCAGAAGGCTGTCATGTGAAGCGGTTCATTTAATCAGTACTTGGTACGCCAACGTAATATTCGTAATAAAATATTTACATATTTTTTTACAGGTTAGGCAAAGACATCCATACAGCGTTTGGAATGGTTATATCTTTACAACTACTGCTAAGCTCAGGTTCTGCTGTATCTCTTTTGCTACAAATTGCAGTAAGATTTTTTTTTTAATAAATTTAATTGAAACTATAAAAAACCGTTTAAAATTATTTTTACTTTAGCTTTCAGATGAAATCACATTTGTTGCCAGTATGAAAGTTATATTTTTTGTTGCGGCTCTTTTCTTTTTACTGGGACTATTTTTATGTAATGCTGGGGAAATAACATACCAGGTAAGTAAATAATATAGTAAATATATAAAAAAAAAACATGGGACCAGTTCGATTATATGTAGTACTAATTGTGTATATTATACAGTTATACCTTATTATAACTTTGTCATTGTGATCTATATAGATAGATAAGAGATAATAATATAATACGTCTGAATATGTATGTGAACTTATATTCATATTATTATTTATGATAAAATTTGTCATCCCCACTCTTTAAAGTCTGTATCAGACTATTCTTTCTTCGTAGATATCGAGGGCTAATTCCCCATTTGAATTAGCCCTTGTATCGTTATAGTAAACAATGCTATTCTATGTGACATTTCTAGTGTTGCAGGCATCAATAGGCTACAGTAACCGTTTACTATCAGACGGGCTGTATGTTTGTTTGAGATTTTCGTAGTATAAAAAACAGATCTATTTTGTGGAATTAAATAGTAAGATAAGATTATAGCCATTATTTGCTCAGGTTTTTTCAGAGTTTCATATAAATATAAACTAAAGAAAATATAACCTACATTCAACTTATTCAATCTGCTGTTAACCACGATTATGAAGTATGTTTTAACGAATATTTTTTTTATTATTATTTTTCTAATATATATTATTATAATGTTCTTTTTTTTGTTTCTGATGAGTGCATTGATAAATTTGTAAAGCTCATCATATATATATATATATTATATATTATAATTAAATAATGTATATATTTGTGACCTAGTGAAACTTCAGACTGTTAGTAATTTTATTACATATATTTCAGGCGTCATTATTATCAAATGCGATATTCTACTGCGGTTGGTACCTTAGTCCGGTACTACCGTCACGACAGCGCAACTTACGTCAGATAGTGCTGCGTGCGTGTATGCAGACACAGCATCCACCTGTCATGAAGGCATTTAAAATGATTGAGCTTACATATGCTACGTTTTTACAGGTAAATATAATATGATGACAAATTATGGTGATGCTGGTGATTGTTTGTTAATGGAATTAAAATATATACAAGAAAATTTTGTAATAAATATTATTTACAAGTAGAAATTCTTACTTTATGTTATATGAGTAATCAAATTAATACAACAGAAGAAATTTCCTGGACAAAAAGTTATATGTGACCTTCCACGTAAAGCATATATTCGTAGACACTTGACAAGGTTTTCATGAAGCGTGAATTAAGACTTTGTATACATACATACTAAATATTTTTTTATTATAGTAAGATATTTTAGAAAGCTCTATTACAATCAGAATTTTTAGAGTAAGATTTCTGAATATAAACAAATAAAGGGCGTACTCTAAGAAGGTGTTTTTGTTTAGGAGCTGAAAATATAATGTTAATCCTATTTGCGTTATCAGTACACGTTGACAGGATACTAGTCAGAATTGATAGGTGAGGATGAAGTCAGGTCAGTCAGTTCTTAGTGATGAATTCATCAGGAATCAACCACGTTTGTTTCCAATGGGGTTGCGAGAAAGTTGACCTGACAGAGTATATTGTTAGCAATAAGATTCCAGAGATTTACTAAGTTTAATCCTTTAGTTATATTCTCGTGACGGCCGTGTCACGGTTTGGGGTGACCGCGTACCCGGTAATCGACCATTCTCTCCGTTTATTGCAGTCTGCAACTTTCACCTTCTTCAACAAATTGTATGTTGCGCAACTTTAACCTATTATAGATGCCCATGCCGCGCACTTGACGGCCGAAGAACGGTCGATCGTCGAATGGGCGACCAGAAGATGATTAAGGTTGCCCAATCGAGTCCGACTACTTTATTATTTCAGTAGCAGTCTTAGGCCGTCAATCTTACTTTATGTCTCCTAATTTTTTTTATACAACTTAGAATGGCAAACAAGCTGACGGTCCACCCGATGGAAAGTAGTAACCGTCGCTTATAGACGTGAGGAGTACCATGGATATAACAGAGTATACTGTTTCGCCCATAATACCCCCCATGCGTTGCCATTTCTGAGGACTCAGGTGTTATTCCTCTGTACCCAGTAAATTCACGCCATATCCCACCCTTCGAACCGAAACACAGCCATGTAAACACAACTGCTTCACGGTTGAAACACGAATGTGACAGGGGTACCCAAGCAATCGACTTTTGTACAAAGTCTCCCTCTGGTATCATAATTTGCATTCTATCCCCAATTTATATAATCAGTGTCTCCAATACAGCAGGCATTCCGCCACCAGTATCTAATAGCGAGGACGGGATGCCTAAACAAATGCACCTCCAACTCGGTTCTCCCTGGTAACTATCATGGTTAAATTCTGATGAATTCATCATGATGGGCTAACTGGCCTGTTTTCATTCTCATCGATCACCCTTCACTGGTGCTCCGCCTGCGTATCCCGTTAGCGCAGGCGGGGTTACCAAACCATTTTCACCCATCAAAAAAAAAAAAAATGCACCTCCAACTATAAAAAAAGAGTGAGGATAAGACATTTAAATTTAATTACATTTCAAATTAAAAGAACATATCAGTTAATTGGGTTATCCTCAAACAACTTTTAACAGTCCTTTTGTATTTCTAATCGTATAAACGATATCACGGGCACAAAAGGACTGTTTAATTTAGAACGCACTGTTTCTACGGTGTAGGGTCCCTGACGCCTGTCAGGGATAAAAATCTTGATTTCATATTTCTTTTTTATTTTAACCAATTATGTTTTTGTTATTAATCTTATCTATTTTTATCCTTTTTTCTCAGCATTACTATTAATATTGTTCATCACATAGGAATTTTATACATGGAATATTAATTGTTTACATATTTTGTATACACAGTTAGCGTTTTTTTGATGAAACAAATTGCCATAGGTATAAAATAAAATATCTAGTATTATTTATTATTATACTTATTTTCTTTAATAATAAAATCTTTATATTACAGGTACTGAGAGGAACATATTCAGTATTTGCGTTGTTTTACGCACGAAGAAAATAAAAAAATATCAACAATTTAAGAGAGATTACCTATTTTAATTGGTAAAAGTATAATTATTATTAGTAGAATGTATTTTATTTATATTTATGTAATGATAATAATCTGTCTGAAATTCTAGTCTGATGGTTGTATGTTTTTAGATAACGTGAATAGATGTTAATAAACAAGTATAAATACTATACGTGATTACTTAATAGCTATGTGCAGCAAAGCGTGATTTAAATAAGTTAATATGTAATAAGATATTTGTAGAAACAAATATGGGTATTTTCATTAGGTACATAATTTTCCATATAAGAGTTAAGTATAGAAGTATATTTAAAAGTTGTATAAATAAGCATAAAATTAGTTATAACTTTTTAATTAGTTATTAAGCGCTTACTCTATTTGATATAGGTAACTTTCCGTATCTAGTTTTTTTTATGGGTGCAAATGGTATGGTAACTCCGCCTGCGCTAATGGATACGCTGGCGGTGCACCAGTGAAGGGTGATAAATGAGAATGAAAACAGGCCAGTTAGCCTATCATGATGAATTCATCAGGAATTAACCACGATAGTTTCCAGGGAGAACCGCGAGGAGGTCGACCTGGTTGGGTATTTCCGTATCTAGTTGCTATGAAAATAAATTAATAAAGAAATTATTAGTGGGTTATTTATAATCATTATATAGAGATAATAGCATGGCTAATACTGAATATACTCATGCATTGCCGCTCCTGACCACTAACATGCATGCATAACAGGTGATGCATGCTCTAACACAAGCTAATCTTGTTAAAGCATAAATTGGATTGACTATTTTATCATCTTTGCTGTCAATATTAAAGTACTAGCTATGTCTTCTAATCCTGCTATAGCATTCTACATCTTTGTTCGCATGAAGTAGGGCGAAACGTATTCCATGTAATCAAATTTCAAGCAAATCCATTTAACTGTTTAAGTGTGATTGAGTAACAAATATCTGAATTTCAAATATTGTAAAGTTCATTTTGTAAAGACAAACTTTCACATTTATAATATTGGCAGGGGAGTAGAATGAGTTGTACTTAAATATTATAGATACCTATGCTATATTTTATAGATATTGTATCCATTTAAGAGTTCCATTGTGTTCGAGTTTATCTCAACTGCAGCTGTTAAAGAGTGGTCTGCACAAAGATTGTTTGGCGCTCGGTCTCTTAAAACAAACTTTACTTTTAAATAAAGTGGTAACCTGCGAAATAAAGACGGAGATAGATCAGAGATCAGAGTGAACTTTGATATTAAGTATCATGGACTCCATGATACTTAATATCAAAGTTGGTACTATCAATATTATTATTTTTGTGCCTGTAAAATTTGTTTGTGTAAACTGAAATAGTCCCATAAAAGTCTGTCAGGGAATGGTTAAATAATACAAATAAAAGCAAATAGTAATAATATTCCGTTGATTTTCCTTGATCTTATTTTTTTGTTATAGTTATTATTTGAATTTGTGGTTGAATGATTTCATTCAAACTCAATGATTGTGAGTTGAATCTTATTGATTATGCGGGTTTGAGAGGTTTGTCAAACATTCAGATATTTGAAGATTGTTTGAGGAAAATGTAGTCGTTATTAGAAAATGAGTAGATAGAAGACAACGTTTGTCTAATTATCAATATTCAAATCAGTAGTGAAACTAATAATATAAAAGTTTTTCTTCGTACACAGTCGATGTAAAGGTGAAAGTAATTTAACTTCGTAAAGGTGCTATTTGCTAAATTGGTGTATTTTTCTTCTTTCCTAATAAAACATTTAGTTGTATAGAAAGTTTCACAGCTTATCGTCATTATGGTGTTATTACATGAAACACGATGTTACGAGAAATTTAATTAGTTTTAGGGGTAGTTAATGTGTCTAAACGATTTTCTTTTTATATATACAAATTATAATTTGACACTAGCAATATACTGTGTCTTTAATTTATTGTGGCTTATGTATGACCAATTGCAGTATAATACATTGCCTAATAAGGTAGCCTCTTTTGGTAATTAACCGTGTACCATGTGGTGGGCGGTGAGCGGACAGCCATTTTTATGGGTCTCTCTGGATATCGGGTCGAGTCTTCCTCCTCATAGTATAGCTCAGAATACATTAATCAAAGCTGGACTTTCAAATCTCGTGGTCATACTATATCTCGTGTGATGGTTTCCCATAGGTTGATTCTGAAACACAATTGATAAACTTTTTAATAATTTTTTTATATGAACAATAATAATCGTATGGGCGAGCTCTACCGTAGTTAGTTAGATCTGTCTAAGTTGCTTCTTATAATACCGGCATAGGACTATGGTGTCGAACTATATTCTTAAATTAGTTAGATATAATGTGTCTAGGTAAGGTATCAATGTAGACAGAAAATTGAGTACTTAAGGAATCTATCAGATCTCTTGCTTCATCTACTTTTACAACTTGTAACCAGCATGCACGTTGGTTCGGGCGACTCTCGACTTTACCCCTCAGGCAACATACAACTTATCTGATCTAGATAGGTCAGGTTTGACTTTCTCCTATACTTGCATCTTACACACGTTTACATTTCAGTCTATATTCTTTTCACATGAACTAACTATCATTGTTGCCTTTTATATTTATCTTGCATTGTTTTTTTAGGACGTAGCTTAGCTTTTAAAAAGGAAGGGATTATTAATTTGCCTGTATTTTTATATGCATGTTATGTTATTTCTTCGACAATTCTGAACTAACATTCAAAATTCTTTCTGTAATATACTTAATATTAGTTTAGTCAAAATTAAACAAAATTTTTTGTTATTATTTTACTTTCATTAATGTTCTAGATGTTATTTATGCACTACCCAGTAATTATTAAATAAGAATGTATCAATAGAGGACTTAGAAGAGACACCAAGCTTTATACTTGAGTTAAATAACAAAAAATACAGAATGAGATTTGTAAACAATGATAAACAAATCTCTGTATTAATCTAGTAAACCAGTACTTTAAGACTTTTTTTCGTAGGTTTTAGTGCACTTAATAGAAAAGTAATTTATAATCATTATATAGAATAAATTCGTACAGTCTATGTGGGAGGCTTATTTCAAGCAGTGGAAAGATAATGGCTGAAATGATGATGATGATGTTGAATGTTCTAGATCGATGAGGAGAGTGGTGTGTTGGTACCTATTTAATATCTACCCAATTGTTTTTTAGTTTACGTTCGTGCTTATGTTATGTAATAATATGTAATAGTATGTAATTATTATCTGCATTATTATTATATTTCTTTAGTTGTCTAATTGAAAATTTTAGTCATTATTATCTATAAATCGTGGCATAGAAATGGGTTCATCTACACTATAGATATAGTTATAAGTACAGTAATTATAAATATTTTATAAAAATCGGTTATCTTCAGACATTTGAAAGTGAAGTAAGTAACAATGTTAAATATCGATATATTATATAAAGTCGTGCCATAAAATTAATTTTTATAAATATATACTTTTTGGATCTCACATTCACACAATGCATACTCATACAAATAAAATAAACTGTATATAAAAGTATAGATTTTTATTTGATTTCGGTATAATTTTTGTAGCCACATAAGGTTGGTCACGCATGGAGAAAAGCACAAAAATATTACCTTTTTATCGATAAACAAGTTATCGCTAAGATTTTTGTATCACATACATATGCAAATCGACATATTGATAGTAGACATTGCGTGTTATGAATAGGGCCATAAATATATATTCGTAAAGCTGTAAATCGAGTTCGTAAATTCAGTATACAGTTTATTCACTTTCATATAAGTATATTTAAAATTAGCTACGAAAGAAAGTTTTAAAGTACCTACTGGTTTACTAGATTAATACATAATTGTTAATAAATCTCGAGCTTGTATATTTTGTACTACTTTTTAATTATCTTTAGATATTTAAGAAAAGTATAAAGTTTTGAATCTGCTCTAATGCTGTGAATCCTATTGATATATTCGTTGTCTAATATTTTTAATTTTCTGTTCCTGTCGTTTGTTTTGAAAACGAGTATAAGATGTATAATATAAGAGTATGCACTTTCCTATATTTTTTAAGTCTTTTTGGCTTTCTGTTTGTTCATCTGCCATGTGAAACTAATTATTTGATCTATTAAACGTTGTTGTATCTCCTACTAACTACCAGCGCAAATTTTGCAAAAAGACAGGACAAAAACTATCCTACCAACTTTCTGTTACTATTCAGTTTGAAAGAAGATGTAGCAAACAATGCATCTTTACAAAACTTTATTAAAATCCGTTGATCTATTTGGAGATGGGATGGAATTTTTAAATATTTAGATTTTGGTGTTAATTATATGATCCAAGGTCCAACGTATATCTTTTTTGATATTCGAGTACAGTGGTCTCTATGTAACTATATTAAAATTTGTTTCTTTATTTCTATTTAGCTATGACATCCTTCATGTATTGTATCTCCTCATTTTTTGCTCTAATATCCTTTTACTGTATTATTCACGTACCTCATATCGGTACAGTGCAATACACTAAATGTATGTTTTCATTAATCGCTTTTTAGGTTGTTGCTATTTTTATTTCGATAGCAAGAGCTTAAATTTTGAAAATCTCTAAAGTAACGGAGGATGATCATGCAGGTCTATTTTCCATTACTGTTATGTTGTACAGAGAAACTATTCATATTATCTAATACAGTACCTATTAGGAAAGTCGGATACTCGATTACTGATCATTATGGTAAATTTCTTTATAATATAATGAAGATTCTTATGGTTTAATGTTTTATTTTCATGAGGTATCTTTGATGTTCACAAACACAAACCAGTAAACATCAAAGGTACCTTTTTATTGCTTTTTGTAACGCGACAAGACATTGCCAGTAGGATTTGAATAATCGGGTTTATAAAAAAGTGCATTAAATTCTCAATACCCTCTATACCCTTTTGTATCACTTCTCATTAATGTTTACTGTATTTATTATTTTTTTAAATGATGCAATAAAGTGTAAATAAACAAATATGTTAATGTAACCGTTATTTGTGGTTTTGTCCATGTGAATCAGTATACAAAATATGTTATGTGTAAAGTTAGGATAGACCCATCTGTGTTCAAAATTTTATTCAAATCCGTCCAACCGTTTAAGAGTGTTTGAGTAATAAACATACAAACATCTCTATAAATTTTTACATTTGTAATATTATTAAGTTTATTTTAAATGAAACAAATAGAATAGATTATTATTACCAACTTGGTAGGTGCACACTATTCTGTTTCGTTTAGGTAGTGTTCCCGAACTTGTAAGGGGTAAGATTAAAGTTTTGCCTCTGTGATATATTAGGTGCCGCGTGTCGCATATTCGGGTCCGTTTTGGTATTACTCACACTTTTCCAGCCCAAATAAATTTTCTGCGGAGACGGAAATATAAGAAAATGCGGAAAGGACCCAAAGAAATAACTTAGCGCTCAACGGAACGACTTATACGGGTCACATTCTTTAATCGTCCATACTCAGAATATTTACCCACCCATTTTTAAAAGGAACCCTTGGCCGTGATAAAGGTCAGGGTGTCATTATTTTTATGTTACCATTAAGGTATTGTAGAAAGTGAAGCAATATTTATTTAAGCATATATCAAGAGGCCAAATAAAACGTAATTAATTTATTCTCTTAATTTTTATCACCATGGGTAATATTTTACTAGTGACGTGATAGTATTCTTTGTATGTTTCTGTTAATTGGGATAACAGTATTTTGGACACATTATGTTGTTGTATCTGTTAGCTGTTTACTGCTGAACATAGTTCCACCATAGGGGGTTTTGACAGTACATGCTACGCTTAGCAGGTGGGTTGGCAACCGCAGTCTAGCATTCGGTAATGTTTTAAGGGGGACGCTGCTGCCCATCCCTTTACCATAAGCTTACACATAAGGCATACACACACACACACACACACACACACATAAGGCATGTACATAGCATACTTATTACATATTCACGGAAACAAAATCGCTGGATGTAGTTAGTACTCATCACATGAAAAAATGTTTTTTATATCAATTATATTCTACATAAAATTTAAAATGAAGTAAGAGACAACACTTTGTATCCTAATCAATTAATATAATTGATTGGTATAGAAAGTGGTATAATAAAGTTAATAATTATTGGAACAGGTTTTTTTTTGCTTTATATAACGCAATTCGGACTATACGTATTTTTAGGCCAACACAAAAACGATTTAGTGATGAGAATGTGACTTCGAGCGCGTGTGCAGAATAATTGGGTCAGGCTAGTAAAAAGCTAGTAGGTATGGAGCGTAAACGAAATTGCGAATCAGGGAGAGCAGACTTTTATTGAAACAAAA